ATTTTGTTCATCAGATTCCACATATGAGTGAGATCATGTGATACTTGTCTTTCTCTGTCTTATTTCACTTAGCATGATACTCTCCAGGTCCTTCCATGCTGTCCCAAAGAATAAGAGATCCTTCTTTTTTACTGCTACATAGTATTCCATGATATAGGTGTACCACAGTTTTTTTACCACTCATCTACTGATGGGTAGTTGCTGTTTCCAGATCTGAGCTATTGTAAATTGTTCGAAGGGAGAGGGAGAGAGAGATAGAAACATCCATGATGAGAACCATTGATCGGCTGCCTCCTGCAGGCCCCACACTGGGGATGGAGCCCACAACTCAGGCATGTACCCTGACTGGAAATCGAACCGTGACCTTCTGGTTCCTAGGTTGACGTTCAACCACTGAGCCACGCCTGCTGGGCGGGACATTTCTGTAATCCGACCTCAAAGGATCCTATGTGTATCCACCCAGTCAACAACTCCTGGAAACATGACTGCTATGCTGACATCTCGCACCGCATATTCGTTTTGCCTATTGGGAGGTTGCACGTAAATAGAGTCATGATGTATTCATTGTGTCTGGCTTCGTTTGCTTAGCAAATTTATGAGCATTCATATTGTTGCAGTATTAGGGTTTGTTCTTTTTCATCCATTGTATGAATACACCACCATTTATCCATTCTACTATTGATAATCATTTGGCCATCTATTTATTTATTTATTATTTTTAATCCTCACCCAAGGATGAGGAAAACATTGCTGTTTTAAGCCGCTAAGTTTTGGGCTGGTTTGTTACACAGTGATAAGTAACCAGAACTACACCCGCTAGTTCTTGATATAGAACATTTTTAAAAATATATATATATATATTATTGATTTCAGAGAGGAAGGGAGAGGGAGAGAGAGATAGAAACATCCATGATGAGAACCATTGATCAGCTGCCTGATGCACGCCCACATTGGGGATCCAGCCAAAAACGTGGGCATGTTCCCTGACCGGGAATCAAACCATGACCTCCTGGTTCATAGGTTGATGCTCAAACACTGAATCACACTGTCCAAGCCAAAAGTAGACTTTCTAGTTCAAGGTCCACCTGTGCATTTTTTAGAATGTCCTCTTTGCCTGTTCCCTTGCAAAGATCGTCACATTTTCTTCTTTCCTGATTCTTACATGTATATCCTGCCTGGCCACTTAAAGTCCTCTCCCATGTCTTGTCCCCAACAGAAAACACCTAGAATCTCTCTGCCGAAGCCCCTTCACCTTCTATTGTTGCAGTATTAGGGTTTGTTCTTTTTCATCCATTGTATGAATACACCACCATTTATCCATTCTACTATTGATAATCATTTGGCCATCTATTTATTTATTTATTATTTTTAATCCTCACCCGAAGATATTTTTTCACTGATTTTCAGGGAGAGTGGGAGAGGGAAAGACAGAGAGAAATATTTAAAAATATTTATTTATTTATTTCATAGAGGAAGGGAGAAGGAGAAAGAGATAGAAACATCAATGATAAGAGAGAATCATTGATTGGCTGCCTCCTGCACGTCCCCCTACTGGGGATGGAGCCTGCAACCCAGGCATGTGCCCTTGACCAGAATTGAACCTGGGATCCTTCAGTCCTCAGGCCGACGCTCTATCCACTGAGCCAAACCAGCTAGAACCAGAGAGTAATATTGATGTGAGAGAAACACATCGATTGGTTGCTTCCTGCACGAGCCCCAGCCAGGGCCTGGGCTGGATAGGAACCTCCAACCCAGGTAGGTGCCCTTGACCGGACTCGAACCCGGGACCCCAGAGGAACCTCCAACCGAGGTAGGTGCCCTTGACCGGACTCGAACCCGGGACCCTTTGGTCCGTAGGCCAATGCTCTATCCACTGGGCCAAACTGGCTAGGGCCATTTGGCCATTTATTATCAATAAAGCTGCTATGTACATACATGTACTTTCCTTTGGTGTGGGCATAAGTACTAGTTTCCATTGGATGTGTACCAGGAGTAGAATGGCTGGGTCATAGGATATGGGTATATTTCGCCTAAGTAATGTGGCGTTTTAAAACATGTTCACAAATTCTTTGATACCACTCCATTAAGAGGTGGGGGACTTTGAATCTGGGCTGGTCTTTTGTTTTTTAACATTTTAAAAGCAATATATTTTTATTGATTTCCAAGAGGAAGGGAGAGGCAAAGAGAGATAGAAACATCAATGATGAGAGAGATCATTGGTTGGCTGCCTCCTGCACACCCCCCACTGGGGATCGAGCCCACAACCCAGGCATGTGCCCTTGACCAGAATCGAACCTGGGACCCTTCACTCCACAGGCCGACACTCTATCCACTGAGCCAAACACTCAAGGGCTAGTCTGGTCTCAGTGACTCATTAGTAACCAATAGAATTCAGTGGCTATGACCTTGCATGAGTTCCAAGGCTAGGTCCGAAAAGCTGTGCAGCTCCCCCTGGTTTTCTTGAGACAATTGCTGTGGGCAATTCCCAGCCAGTGTTTCTTTAACTGTTCTTCCTGGCTGTCTAGCTAGCACTCCATTACACATGGGTTAGTGAGCCAGTGGTTCTCAACCTTCTGGCCCTTTAAATACAGTTCCTAGCCCTAACCGGTTTGGCTCAGTGGATAGAGCGTTGGCCTGCGGACTGAAGGGTCCCAGGTTCGATTCGGTCAAGGGCATGTACCTTGGTTGCGGGCACAACCCCAGTAGGGGGTGTGCAGGAGGCAGCTGATCAATGGTTCTCTCTCGTCAATGTTTCTAACTCTCTATCCCTCTTCCTTCCTCTCTGTAAAAAAACAATAAAATATATATTAAAAAGATAAATAAATAAATACAGTTCCTCATGTAGTGACCCAACCATAAAATTATTTTCGTTGCTACTTCATAACTGTAATGTTGCTACTGTTATGAATAGTCATGTAAATATCTGATATGCAGGATGGTCTTAGGCGACCCCTGTGAAAGGGTCGTTCGACCGCCAAAGGGGTCGCGACCCACAGGTTGAGAACCGCTGGCCATTAGGCCTTTTAATTTTGTCTCATATAATTAACAGACATACAGTCCTTTCTGTATTTTCTGTCTTTTTTTTTCCTCCCTGTGTTTCAATGTGGACATCTTGTACTGACTTGTCTTCGATAGTTATACTGTGGTGTGTTTCTAGGAATTTGTCCATTTCATCTAGGTTACCCAATTTTTTTGGCTTATAGTTGTTCATAGTACTCTCTTATAACCTGACCCTTTTATTTCTGTTGCATAGGTGGTAAAGTCTACACTTTCCTTTCTGATGTTAGTAATTTGAGACTTCTCTTCCCCTCGCCCCTTAGTCTATGTAGCTACAGGCTTATCAATTTTTTAATATATATTTTTATTGATGTCAGATAGGAAGGGAGCGGGAGAGAGATAAACATCAATGATGAGAGAGAATCATGGATCGGCTGCCTCCTGCACGCCCCCGACTGGGGATGGAGCCTGCAACCCCGGCATGTGCCCTGACCGGGAATCGAACCGTGACCTCCTGGTTCCTAGGTGGACGCTCACCCACTGAGCCACGCTGCAGGCAGGGCTGCACTGTTCTTGTTCTGATACATTTGGGGTTTCTTTGAGATTTAACATACGGTTACCTTTTGGTAAATGGATTATAGCACATTAAACAAACAGGAAAAAAAGGGTCCATAAGTCCCCACGGACACTCAAAATCAGAACAGAAGAGAGCAAGAAAGAGGCGAAGGGAAGGCGCTGGGTGAGGGGAGGTCGGCGGGCAGGTGCAGAGGGGGCAGAGGCGTCTGCCTTGGCCTCGCCCTCCGACCCCTCCCCTTCCAGGCGAGCAGCTCCCTG